CTGCCACTCGCACGCTCATGCACGCAAATGCACGCTCGCGCATAACATAAGGCAGTGACTTCGGGCCAGCTCACTGTGCGTGACCACGTTCTTGCCACACCCCTGGTCCGTTGGCAATGGGCAGAAAACCCGGCCGCGGAATGACGAAGCTGACAACCCATGTACCTAGAGGGCGCAGTGCTTGGGCTACCATCGTCAGCAACCTGCCAAATGCAAAGACGGCTCCACTCCAAAACAACATTAGTAACATTAGTGAGCCTCAATCACGTCTGGCAATTCCCGACCTGTGTGCAAGACTCTAGTGCCAAGCTCACCCCCGCAGATCCCGCAGATGTGAGCTTCGGAAACTGGCCCAAGCCAACGCAGAGCCTAAAGCTGCTTGAAGGCTTCTCTGTAGATCGCCGTCTTGCCCCACGTCCCAATCACTGTCCTGAACATTGCTTGCACCAGGCGCCATTGCCAGCACATGGCTGTGATTTCTGCAAGGAGGCTCCTCGTCCCCAGCACCTGGCTGTGCGCATATCACATCACGTTCAAGACGCATCGTCAACTCCACGCATCCGACACATCCGACGCCTGGCAACGGCCGCGGGGGGGCCGGAGCAGACTTCTTGGCTGCGGCTTTTGGGCGCCGCCTCGAGGTCTCCGAGGCCTTGCTCTCGGGCGGCAACGGCTCTTTCGGCTTTGCATCTGCCGCTTCCAGCGCTGCCTCCACTTGCGAAGCTTCGGCTGCGTCTGCCGCTTCTGGCGCTGGGTCTGGCTCGGCACCAGGTTCTGTGGGCCCCATATTTTGTCGGCGGTCCGCCTGGACTTCTGCCTCTTTTGTCTCAACATCCTCACTGGAATCTGGGCTGTCTGACCGCTCAGCTTGAGCGGCTGCAGTTGCCGGCGGCGCTTGCAAATCGTGGAGCTCCTCCATCGTTGCGGCCTGTAGCTGATAGGGTTGCGGTCGTGCAGGTGATGTGGATGCGGCTGGCACTGGCTGCACAGGTGGAACTGGTTGGACTGGTTGGGTTGGCGATTGCAACGCGTGTGAGGCTTGCAAAGCATGAGAAGCATGTGGGAGGTGGTGCATCTTGTAGTCGTAGACAATCGGCTGGCGAGAAAACCAATCCAGTGGCCAATCCTTGGCTCAAAGCCTTGTTTATTTTCTGATTTTTGGGGCGCACATGCAGCCACATGGCACACAAACAGCATGAGAAATCTCGAACGCAATCTGCCCTCCTGCCCGACAATTTGCACCCCGCCCCAAGTGCCACAAAACATAGACAATTGCCCACTGGCCTGCGCAGTGAGTCCTTTTTTTAAGGGGGAGCCTGCCTGCGGGCATAGCAGGGCTACGATCCGTGTCGGGCCTTCCATGTTTCTATGTTTCTACGCAGTTGCAATTGTTCAGTCATCCTGACACTGTTTGAGTTTGGATGGTCGTGCGAGTCGTGCTTTTGGTACTCTGGTGCTGTCCAGTATTAGCAGCGGCTTGCTAAAGATCAAGGTGGGCTGAGACCACATAAGCTGCATTTCTAAATGTAAGCAATGCCTGATTTCTGGGTTGTACTGCCGCCATACTTGCCGTACTTATCTGCCTGGCGTGGCCCGCAAAGCTACAGCTTCATTGAACTGTTGCCCCTTGTAAGTCCCAATTTCGGTCGCAAGGGCGATCTCCAGGGTTGGACAGTTGCAATTGGCATGCAGCTAAGGTTCAGCTGACGGCACCCAGCGGCCTTCCTGACACTCTGGGACTTGGAACTCAAAAAGTGATTCCTTCGTATCCACGAATGCCATGTGCATCATATGCGCCTGTGCTGGTGAATCCTCTTTGCGCCGCCGCCGCCGTCGACCGTGGCGGTGCTTCGCACCTAACACGCAACGCGTGTGCTGCGTGATGCCGCCACTCTACAAATCAATGCATTACGGAGCGCCGGAAGGCGCGTCAACCGGTGCGCCAAAGGCAGCTCCCAGCATATCGCTGGCCTGGCAGTCGCCGCAACACAGGCGACATGCGACACAACATATTGCATGTGGGCGCGGACCAAGTCAAATGGAGACACGGCAGTCTTCTTTTCCGGGGCAGCCTTGGCACATGCCAAACAGTTTGCGACATGTTCAGTGAAGTCCCAGGGCACCCACCACAGCTTGACTCGGGCTGAGTGAAGATGCCCAAAAGTCCGCCGCCAATGATTTCCCATCTGCGCAGCCCAGATTCCCAGATACATGTCGTCACACGACTCCACGCCTTTCTCTGGAGAACTCACTAAGACTCCAGGTGGCCTGCAGGCAATGCTGTAATGCTGCCCTCATCTCGAGATTGCTGTTTGTCCGAGCTTGGTAGCATGGTTTGATGAAGACAACTCGGGTGATTGTTCGTGAAATCACATATTCTGAAAACACCTGAGAAATCATGGTGTTCTGATAAATTCAAATCACGCCTGGGGGGTCCCGGTGTTTGTCTTCTAAATCACGCCTGGGGGTCATGGCGTTTGTCTTGTTGAAGTCACGCCTGAGGGGTCCTTTTTTGGGACATCACGCTGGGGTCCCCGTGCCTTCTTTTTTTTTGTGATTGACATTTCAGCACGACGTGACCCTCAAATGACAGCACCAGCAGCATTGCAGAGCAATAGCCACGTTTGCAGGCGCTCATATGAGTTGGTGCGCTGGTTTGTTGATTTGTTGGTGTGTTGATTTGTCGATATGTTGGTCCTCCTGCAACATCATGAAACCGACGGTTCGACCGACAGCATACCCAAAGCTTCTATCTGCGTACAAGCAAAAGAAAGAGTCTGCTGTATAGTGGGATGAACGGTCCACGCGCAGAACAAATACACTAGCATAGACATGGGCCCCAGATGGCAAGAACAAACTCTACTGTCAAGAAACAAAACAAAACACACGGCAACAGCCTTGAACGAGCATCTTTTGTGTAGCGCCCGTTCCCTGCTCCGTAGCACCCTTCAACAAAGCCCTGCAACAAAGCCCTGCAACAAAGCAAAGCCCTGCAACAAGGCAAAGCCCTGCAACAAAGCAAAGCCCTGCAACAAAGCAAAGGCCTGCAACAACAAAGCAAAGCCCTGCAACAGCAGTGTGCCACGCCCTGCGCAACTCTCAGCCACATCACCCTGCTCTCCAGCAGCACACCGTAACAGACTCCTTGGAACAGCACCGCAGGACAGCACCCTGTCAGGATTCTTAGTCACACGCTGAACCTAGATCGCCTTTAGCTTTGAGCTATGTGCGACAAAACTAACCTTTCATGTTCCTCCTTCGCCTTTGCACAGCTTAGGGAATACCGGGGTCACAGGCTCTGACGTGCTAAGTCGGGTAACAGCCATGGCTTGCTTTGCGTGTTGCACAATGTAAATAACGTAAAAGCTGATCTTGCTTTGACGGCAAAATCACACACAAGCTAATTGAAGCAGCGTACGAAACTGAGAGCTGGCCTTTTTTGTTTCACACCAGCTGGCTGGTCATCCTCGGCTGCAGGTTTGCTCAGTTTGAGGCGCAGCAAATATATGGCACCCCTGTCCTGACCAGAAGCTGCTTCCACACTGGCTAGCAGCTCCTTGTCAGAGAAATGCGCTGGGACAAAGAAAGCCATCCAAGAGGCATTCCCCGGCCTTTCCCCTCTTTCGCTTCTTGTCCTTGCACACGATTACTCGGCTTACGTGTCTGAGCAACCTCTAGATTTGGCAGAAAAACAACTAAGCACAACGCATGTTCTATCTTTTTCTCTGTCTGGTCTCCCACAAGCGTGGAGCATGCATGTCAGCGCCTTTGATGGAGCTTGAGCATCTGTGCCCGGCACGTTTGGTGTTGGCCTGACAGACGACCAAAGCTCAAGCCTCTCTTTGTTTGGTTGCGCTAGGGCAGCTTGCTGAAGTTCCACAGGCGAGTTCTTCCTTTCCTGCACGACAAGTCTAAGACTTTGAGCATGCTGTCTGCATACATACATACATACATACATACAGACATACAGACAGACATACACTACATTACATTACGGTACATTACACTACATTACACCACATTACACCACATTACTCTACCCTACACTACACTACAACAAACATACACACATTACGTACATTACACACTTTACACCACAGACATTACATTACATTACATTACAGTACAGTACAGTACAGTACAGTACATTATATTATGTTGCATTCCATTCCATTCCCTGACATACATACATACATACATTATTACAGCACAACACAGCACAGCACATCACATTGCCTTAGATTACATTACACTACATTACACTACATTGCATCATTACATTACACACATTGCATTACATTACACTACACTACACTAAATTACACCTGCGTTGCATTGCATCGCATTACATTATCTTACGTTACATGCACACCGTACATTACATTACATTGCAATACATTACATTGCACACATTACACACATTACATACATTACAAGCATTACATTACATCACATAACACTATTTTTAACATGTATTTATGTACGAGAGAAAATAATTGAAATCCCAACGGAACTCTCTGGACCGCTCCCTCAATATGTATGCAACACGCCGATAAGAAGCCGCACACACACGCACACACACACACACACACACGCTGAGCGCTCGATTTGTTATCCTGATACACCACAGTCCTGGATTGCTCTGCAGTCCTTTTATCAGTCGGAAGGAAAAACGACGACTAATAATGCCTTGAGCCTTGAGCCACACATGACGTTGCATGTAATTGCTATAGATTTGTTTGCCAGGGGGAAACTAGTCACACCCCCCACGCGGCGAGGCTTGTTCGCAGCCACCCGTGCTTAGTCAGAAATCACACACCACTTGGCTCTCACACATAGTACTTTCATGCATATGCATTTTCATAAAACGGTTTCATCCTCTCTACGAAACGCTGCACAAATGCAGGCTATTATTGAACGCACGTAAATGAATCTGAAAACCGAAGGTAGCCCTAGCAGGGTTGCAGATGATCTCATGATTGTATCCAACCATAGGCATTACTCTGATTTGAGAGTAGATGGCTCAACAAATGGGGGCCCAGTGCCATCTACTATTGACAAACGGAGATTTTCAATTATCGGAAAATTATCGGACATGTTCTGGCCAGAGTAGATGGCACAACTCTTTCCAGTTTTCTGAACACCCGGCTTGGGTGGCTGTGGCCAGGGACAAGAAACATTTTCGCACGAATACACAATTAAGTGGTGGCAACAGTAAATGCAGGTTTGGCAATACCAAGTTTGGTGCTGGCAATACTAAGTTTATACTGGCAATACCACATTTGGTCCTGGCAATGCTGGATTTGGTTCTCGCTGTTTAAAGTGAGTATGCGGAGGATTCGCTTTGCAAAGCGCGTGCGCTTTCAAAGTTTCCATCTTTCCGTAGACCGCCTTTGCAGGGCAGGGCATACACAAAGATAGAACAATGTGAAGTTTAGCGCTGGCAGTACTAAAGTTGTCTTGGCAGTACTGAAATTAGTATTTGCGTGCTAAATCTAATATTGGCAATACTACCGGCAACACTAAATTAGTATTGGCAATACTAAATTTAGTATTGGCAATACTAGATTTGGTATTGGCAATACTAAATTTAGTACTGGTAAAACTGCTTGTGTCACTGGCAATATATTTTGCTTTAAAATACACACACACATGTATTGGCAATATGAAAGTGGTACATGGAGAGCTACTAAAACTAGTATTGGCTTCAGCGCGAGCTTGGCCAGAGCAGGAGGGGAGCGCCCAACTTACGCTCTGCTGCTCTGCCATCACCAACCCCGCGCTCACCCAGCGCATCCAGCCCAGACTCAGGAGCAGGGTTGCTGCCGGCGCCCAACTAACGCACTCTAACCCAGCCCATCACGCCCCTCCTCCAGCGAAAGCTCAGGAGCATTGCGCCATCTCTCTCTTATCAACAGCGGCAACCTGCCCCTCAACTTCGTTCTTCCCCTCTGTCATCACCAGCTCCTTGCGCACCAGCCCACCGCGCCGGCTCGGCCCCGAGGGCTCTGCTGCTCTGGCCGAAATCTCAGAAGCGTTGCGTCATTTACTTTTGGCAACAGCGCCCAACCTGCCTCAACTTACGCTCTGCCCCTTTGCCATCACCAGCCCCACCCGGATACGGGGCCCGAAGGCTCAGCTTTGCCCCTCTGCTAACCCCGCAGCTGCGCCAGCTCCGGCCGAAAGGCTCAAGAGCAAGGTTGCGCCATCTGCTGTTGCCAACAGCGCCCAACGACAGCGCCCAACTTACGCTCTTCCCCTCTGCCATCACCAGCACAAGCCCATCGCCCCCGAAAACTCAGGAGCACCAACCCCATCGCCGCGGGTACACTCTGCCCCTTTGCCATCACCAACCCCTGGCGCACCCAGCCCATTTCGAATCAGCAACCTTTTCATAACAATTATAGGCTGTCAAAAGTAGATGGCGCAGGTTTTTGAAACACATGAATTTTGTCAATAGTAGATGGCTCCGTTCCAGTTTTCAGGAAGATTAGCGCCATCTACTATTTATAAACGACCCTCCGACCAGATGTGCCATCTACTGTTTCTTGCGACTGGGGTTGAGCCATCTACTCTCAAATCAGTGTATTGCTGCTTCAGTCGCCTCGGTGTTTGTGGATCTGTCACGCCGCACACATCTGCAAGGTCATCAAGCGCAGAAGCCCCCCATGCCTGCTTCAGCAGGAACAGCCCGCATGTAACAAATTATCCGGTTGTGCCGCTCGCTTGCTTTGCGCAAATGCAATTGCCGAAGTCGAGTTGCGATAACCGAATATCCCCTGTCTACCCCTATCCGGGAGTATCATATTTGCAAATCAAGATGAGGCGCATGGCGCACCTCTCTAACTTGGCGCGCGTGCGGATGTACCCTGAAATCAGGGCCAGGTACGGCGCTAGTGGTGAGGGTGCATCATCCGGCAAAAGAATTCGGAAGGCATTGAAGCGGGAAGCAGCCATCACTTCGTACTCTGCACCAGAGTTGCGGGGCCAACGGGGAAATGCGGTGGACAAGCTGTTCGACGCATTCACTGTTGTTGTTGGGACCTGTTTTGGGGTCAGCCAATCTTCATTCTTCCAGTCCTCCCCTCGCCGGACTCGTCAATTGCTGCTATCAACCTTTGCACATTCCATTCGACTGGGTGATCATGTCAACGGGCAACAAATGTACAACGTCAGGATGTGATTGTCACGCATTGCCACGGAATGTGGTTGACTCCAAGCTCCATGACAACTACCTTGCAAAGGTTGCCAGGAGAGAAGTGGTGAGGACACGCATCCCACACAGAGCACTCAACAGTCTTAAAAGAAGACATTGGCGAATGGCTTCCGTGATCACGAAGACGTCCGTGACCAAGGGTGGTGGTTTTGTGGCCTTTCGTAAGTACAGTTTATCCGGCCCACCGCGCGCGACACAAACAATTTATCTGGATTGTCAAATGTCTTGACACGGCCCCAAAATCACCAAAATCAATGCAAAGGTTGATCTCGCACAAATAGTGAGGAATATCTGCTTTGCCAAAGACAGACTGGTGGGCGTTTCGGGACCTCGTGACAAAACACTCGGGCTCCTTGCATCCATGCCTCTTTGCGCTTATCGAGCTCCGCCTCGTCCTCAAGCCTCTTTGACCCTGGCCCCCACATCTTTCAATGGTGTTGAGGTTCCTGAAGATCTTTACCAACACCAATATCCCAGATCCGGCAAAGGATCGACACGTCGGGCTTGCCCCGCCCATAAGCGGTTGATTCAAATCCTCACCGGTGTCGCCCTCTCTCCGTCATCCTTCTCGCGACGGATATTCCTCGACTTCCCATACGTCTTGTTTTCCCGACGAGGCCTCCGCAACTCTTCGCCCTCCTTCTCATTTGCGCCCTCCTGCGCCTCTTGGTGGGCTGCGCGCTTTATCTTCTCCACATCTACGTTGCCTGCTTCCTCCTCGGAGACTTTTTGCCTGCTGCTCTCCGACACTGCGATACAAATGACCAAATGGGAAGCAAAATGCTCGTCGAAGAGTAGGCAATAAGTGCAATACGCCGGCGCGCTATTAGATGTCATACATACATTACATTACGCTGCATTGCATCACCTTGCATTACATCACATTGCATTTGATACCTGCGTACATACATACAGTGTGTACGTACATACGTACATACATACAAGAAATATATAGATATAGTAGCTTTTACTACGTTGCATTCTGTTACAGTACATTGCATTGCCTTGCGTTGCAATACATTACATTGCATCACACACATGAAGTACATTACACTACATTACATTACGTTGCATGAATCAAATACATGAATTACATTGCGTTGCGCATAACAGTACATTACATTACGTTACATTCCATGGTCCATTACATACGAACATTACATACGAACATTACATACTTCTGGGTACACATGCCACATACACACGCCCGAAATGCATCTGAAATTCATTTAAAATATGAAGGCATATCTAAGAAACATGACACATGAATATCGACAAGTAGAGACCAAGCATTGAGAAATCTGGACGTTTAATGACCAAGAAAAGATGGCGTGTTGCATCCTACAAACAAACCGGTTGAACGAATGAAAAGCCCAGTTTCTGAGCATCTATGACTGACATGAGAGTAGATTCAGAGACTAAAGAAAGTTATAAAATTTAAATAAACATACATAATGCATTTTTAATGCAGAAGTCAAAAAGGCTGGGCCAAAGCAATGGCACACTTGTGTGTTCCTCAACCTGCGACTGAAGCTGATTGAAAACCCAAAGTGTGTTCACACACACACCCCCTTGTGGCAGACATAAACCCACCTTTGCTTAAGTTTTCGGCATTCTCCCCAGCAACCAATTTACGGCAAGGCAGCCTTCTTCTCACTTGGCTTGTCCTCTCCACCGTCCAATCTGGAAGGACTGGTCAGCCTTTGCAATTCCCCAGCAACAACATGCGCACACCATACCGCAGCTCAACTGAGTTTCAAGCACTTCCTGTTTCTTGACTTTCTTGTCCTTGCGCTTGGCCTGCAGGCGCGCGCAGGGTCAAGAGCGCAGGGCTGCTTGGTCCTGAATTGGGAGTTCGGCGGCTATGGCCAGTTTCTTGGGCGAACGCACGACCCCCGTAAGACCAATAGGATGACACAGAGAAACTTTGGCAATTCGTTCACGGCATGGGTCCTCTATTGCTGCGGCTGCGGTCGAGCCACTAGCTCGACGACAGCACCAACACACACAAGCAAGGCTTGCAACTTTGGCAAAGCAGACAAACAAATGTGTCTCACAGCATGATGTCTGCATCTTTCTCAGCCCGCCCCAGGCCCGGAAGTTTCTGCCAGATGGCCTTCTTCTCACTCGGTTTGTCCTCCCCACCGTCCAGTTTGAAAGGACTGGTCAGCCTTTGCAATTCCCCAGCAACAGCACGCACACAGCGTAGCGCAGCCCAACTGAGCTTCAAGCACTTCCTGTTTCTTGTCTTTCTTTTCCTTGTGCTTGGCCTGCAAGCCCCACAGGGTCAAGAGCGTAGGGTTGCTTGGTCCTCAATTGAAAGATCGGCGGCTATGTCCGTTTTCTTGGGCGAACGCACAACCCCCGCAAGCCCAATGGGATGATAACGATTTGCTCACGCATGGATCCTCTATTGCTGCGGCTGCGGTCGAGCCACTCCGTAGACGCTAGCTCGTCGAGAGCAACAACACACCCAGAAAGCAAAGCTTGCAACTTTGGCGGAAAAACAACAAATGTGTCCAAGTCTTCTGCTGTGTCTGACTGCATCCCCCCTCGGCCCACCCGATGCCCTAAGCCCCGCAAGTTGCTGCGAATGGCCTTGTTCTCGCTAGGCTTGTCCTCTCCACCGCCCAATTTGGAAGGACTGGTCAGCCTTTGCAATTCCCTAGCGACAACATGACACAGCTTGCTGGAGCCGCTGTCTGCTGCATAGCGCAGCTGAACTGAGTTTCAAGCACTTCCTGCTTCTTGTTCTTGTTCTTGCGCTTGGCCTGCCAAGAGCCCAGCTGCATGGTGATTGGGAGTATTGTGAGTGTGGCCTGTTTCTTGGCAGACGCACGTCCCCCAATAAGATGAAAGCCAAAGAAGGGGAACATTCATTCAAGACCTTCTTCGATTTAGCAGCCCGGCCAGCGCAGATCATGGCCCTGTTTACTATGTGTGTTTCTAAGTCTGGCCAACAGCCGGCTTTGGCAGTATTTGAAGTCTGTATTCGAGGTCAATCGCCGACACCATTCTTCAGCTTCTGCGTCTCGTGCACCACCACGTTGCACTGAGCGATGAAATAACAACATGTATCCTGTGTCAAAGTTGTCTGACTTTTTTTTGACAATGCAATACGTTTCAAATTCGAGTTTTGCATCTTAGAACTAGAGGGCGGCTGGCCCGAAAGCATGCGGCCGCCATGTTTTGTCAAGCCCCCGATCCTCCCATCAGCGAACCCGAAATCCTCGCCCGCTGCATGTGAAATATAAGAAGGGAAGTCTGTCTTCTCCCTCGCTTGCCTAACTATTCTCGGTGAGAGAAAGGAAGGGTGTGAAGAAGACAGCCCACTCCATTCCATCTTTGGCAGCGTGTGACGTGAGGCGAAAAGATTTAAGGGATGAACCGCGCTCACGCCCCCTGAATCGTTCTGCCAGGAGGCGAATCAACCACGAAGTCAATGACAAGGCAGTTGGGGTTCGAATCCCGTGGGGTAACCTGTGGAGTCGTGTAGTAGGGGTCGGTGTAAATAGGGGGTGTAAGGATAATATGGCCTGCGTTGTCTCACAATCAACTGCGACAGCGGAGCACAGTCCTTTTGCCTCTTTACAGCTTTCCGTTGGATATTTGTCTTGATCCACTTATCAAGAACTTGAGCCAAAGCATCCATATGCATGAGTCGGCTGTTCACACAACAACATCCCCGCAAAGGTTCGAGGGACCTTAAAGGAGGGGAATAGAACAGGGTGACCCTCAGAACCTGCCCTTGGGATTTTGCCGGAGATTCTTAGCATCCCCCATCATCCCGGAGTCAGGAACCATCCACAAACACATGCCAACATGCATGGACGCGCGGCTTTTCTTATTCAAGTCTGAAACGTCTCTGCACGAGCTTGACCAGGTTCTGTACACTTAACAGGAAACGAGAATGCTACAGGTCGCATACCGGACCTCATGTGCATTGATGCACACGCAGCAAACGATCTATCAGGTAATGGTACAGATCCAGAAAAGTCTGCACAAAACGAACATCCATGACGAGCATAGTCCACCACCAATTTGTAGCCAATAAGAATCGAATACTCATTGACCACCAAATACCTGGCATCTCCAGAATAGTAGTCGCCGATGACGATGCTGTACGGAAGCATGAAAATGTTCTGTGGCGACAAATGCAAGTCTCATGCAATACTTTTGGGTTGATGGTGGTACCACGCACCATGAGTACCACGATCCCATTGTGAAAAACGCAATCTCCAGTTAATCCCCCTACATAGTAGAGATCGTGTTGGAAATGCTTGATCACCAGTGCGACGACGTCGTGATCGCCTTTCCACTCGCCCTCCATCGGAACCTTTCTAGCAGAGAATGTGGTGTCTCCTCGGTCCGATTGATCTTCTCGATGTAGCGCGAGGGCAGATGTGTATTGCGATGATAGCACCGTTGGATAAGAGGAGTATCAACCTCTTTGACGCCTTGCACGCAAATCACGGCAGCAAGATCAACTTTCAAGAACTTGTGTCCGATGAGCACATCTGTTCGGTAGAAGGTCATGTAGTCGCAATTGAGGCCAAGGGCAATGTACGAAGGCGGTGTTCTTCTGGTGATTGATGCCTCTGAACTGCTCAGCCTTGATGCCAAGGATATTGCGCGCGGTCCAGATCCGATACATCAAGTATAGCCGTTTCAGCTTCAGGGACCGGTAAAACGTCTCTTCATCCCTATGATTCGCACTTTGGAACCTTACATTCTTGAATTTGGGAGCGGCAACGACCTCGTCGTAGGTGGGCGGAACAGGAATGTTCTGCTCGTCGACTTCGGTGAAAATCCAGTCGTCCCTCCCATTGATCGCGATGTAGGGACAATAGATTCCGCCACCTTCGCCTGCTTCCTTGACCAAGTCTGCCTCGTTGTTTTGAAAAGTATGATGCCAATGAAGCCGGAGGGGTATGACGCGTCGCCAGGCTCGTCGACGCAAATTGCCTTGACTTGAAGCAGATGAGTTGCGTCTGCATCCTCCGCAGGATTGTCCGGACAGACTCCCATTTCATCATCGTCGATATCCGTCCCGATGTCCGATGGTGTCTGCGGATCGTCCCTCGCTCATCTCGTTGGTGTCGGGTTGTTCTTCCTCGGTGACGATGCGCTCAGCATCCTTCTTTGCTTCTCGCTGAGCTTGCTTCGCTTCCTCCGTCACCCTGGTGGTGTCGGATGTTTTGGGCTCGTTCCCGTCCACATGGATCACGAACTTGCCAGTGGAAATGAGCTCCAGTCTCGGAATCCATGCCCTGCGAGCTTCCGATCTGATGCACTCGGCGATGATTTGGAATCTGTCGCTCTTGTTGTACCGATTCTGCGGGAACACGTCCTCGCGGTCCAGGATGTGGTCGATGTTCACCCATCCTCCACCATTGCAAGGAATAGGGTTGCCCCTCTTTGCGCCAATTTGGTGGCGTAGGATCTTCACCAGCGCTTTTGACGTGTGGAACAGGTCGCTGTGGTGAATGTTGGATCCAAATGCCGTGTACCCTTTGTACGGCCAATGGGGAAAACTTGTGTCTTGGCTCTGCACGTTCATGACTTCCAAGTGCATTCCCTTCGGCAGAGTGTCGGTCATACATGGGAATCCATGTACGCCTTCGCATACTGCCTCCATGTACTTCACGGTGCCATTTCTCTTCCTGTTGACGCCCGTCATGTGAGAGGTCATGTTCTCCCTGACGAACTTCAGGAATGTGGCTTCCAGCATTGGTCGGTATTGGCAAACGTTCCCCCACTTTGGCAACTCCTCTCCGAAGTAGGATATGACGTCAAAGAATCCGAGGACGGTCTCCAGCCCATCTCCCAACTTCTCTTCGTTGTCGGTGGAGTAAACACGGTATGCCTGCTCTTGACCAAGGAACCAACGCATCCACGAAGCGTATACAGCGTTTCCGTAGTCGCGCCACACACGGAATTGTGTCTTTCTCTCTTTCGTCCCATCCAAATGAGTGACAATGTACGACAGCTTGTCGACCCACAGTTGCTTACCATTGCTACTGCGGAAGTAATCAGCAAAGGCGTCTCGATCGAGCGTAACGCCTCCAATCTGCGACATCTCCTTCGCGAACTTCTTGCCGAACAGCTTCACGATCAGGTGAGATACAAAAGCATCCATTCCCTTGTGCATTGTATTCTGCTCGAGCAGCCCGTTGGCGTGGCAATTGATGCATGTCGGTCGGCCGTGGATTGAGCTCCCTCTGTTTGACATCGCGTGCAAAGTACATCTGCAACATTTTTAAAAGTGATACCACTTCGACCGCATGTCATCGCTGCCTTCCTGCTCTCCGTTGCTCTTCATGATACATCTTCTGCTTGTTGAAGTGAGCAGTGAAGTCCGGCTTGTAGTGATAGCAGACATTACCGCCAGTTGCACCCTGAGGCACATTGAATTGCAGTGGGGACACGCCCTCACATGCGTACTCCAGGTCGGTAACTGTCTGTGCATCAAGCGACAGCACATCCATGATCATCTCGACGATCAGCTTCTATTGCAACACATAGAAAAGCTTGGAATCCCCAGCGCTGCTGTAGTTGCGATCCGTCAATCCAAATACTTGCTTCCAAACGAGGTCGTTGTCGGTGGCAATGACGCCCGCGTTCTTGCACAACTCCATCACCTTCGTTGCGGTCAGCATCAGGTTGCCAGTGCTCTGATGGAATTCTGGGTGGTTGTTGATACTCACGAATACTCCTCCGCCGCATATGCTTGAGAGTTCATCTCGTAGTTGCCGCCGATCTTCCACTCGAAACCTTGTATAGACGCTGTCGTACAGCGACATCCAAATGTGGACCGAGCAGTTCGCGACCTGTTGCTTCCATCGGCCGCCACCTTTGAGCGTGTTGATCAGGCCTCTGATACGAGCAAGTGGGGTTGTTGTCCCACCCATTGTCATGCATGTAGGATTGGAATGTCCTGATTTGCTTCCCAGTTTTCTGCCTCAATGGCCAATCAAGGATCACGTAGGACTTGGTTGATGTCGCGACATCGCACAATTGCTGGCAGGTGAGTTCAGCATCCCCCTTGTTGTTGTACCTCTTGAGGATCTTCGAAACTCCAGCATTGGCCGTGTCGGGATTGTCATGACCGTCAATGAGAGCCTTCAACGCGGTCGCTGCGGGCAGCTTTGCCGAATAAAGACATCCTGTCTTCGCGCAGATGTATGCGTAAAGTTGGAGCCAGGCGAGGTTGGGCTTGTTGAGGTAGGCGGTGATGATGCGGTCAGCTCTTCTCCTCTCGTCGAAAATGAGCAAGGTTGCCACCAAATGCCGCAAATACCATTCCCAGTAGGATGCTCTCCTCCCCGCTTTGACTTCTGGTCCAAACTTCGTAGCGGGCATGACGACTCCGGATTTCCTGTGCACAACAAAGCTAACCCCGATGTTGAGGTTGCCGAAAGCAGTGCATTGTTCGATGATGGTGAACGATTCATTCGCGTCATGCCTTTCCGGCATGGCCCATCGGTCGTCTTCCCCTTTGCGGAAATCTCCAGGATAGCTTGGATGGTCTGGTTGACTAGCGATCCATCATCACGTTCTTTCCCGATCGGTTGGTAGGAAGCCCACCACGGTGCACGACCAGTGGTGTCATTGCTGGAGCTCGCGCTTGGTGGAACACCCTGCTGCTCGCTACCGGCACTGGATTTCGGCATCGCCTTGGACTTTGGGGCAACGTGTGCTTTCCCTGAAATCCTCCACCACGCTGGTGTCTCCTCTTCGCCGAAATTCTCGTCGAAGATGTCGATGAATT